GACACAGCATATGTTTCCTCGAAGGGGAGAGTTCACTGAACATGAAGATATATGACATGTGGCATTCCAAACCTTATTCCAGGAAGTAGTGGGCAAACTGTCAAACCAGTTCCTTCTTCAAATCTTTTTTTGTAATACGGGGTTCTTGTGTGCACCTGAAATGGAAGCCTGTGGCTCTGGAACCAGTGTTTGGAGTGGGCATCACTGTGTGTCATCTTGTATGTCATCTAGAGCATGGGGATGAGTCCTTTGGGGTGGTCCAAAGATTGTTTTGGGGTACAGCTTGGCCCCAGTGTCTGCCTGTGTGATTGTCCTGGGGACGCCTCACTTTGGAGCAGCTGGCACAAGAACCACGCTTTGGACCAGGACACAGCACATGTCCCCTCGAAGGGGAGAGTTCGCTGAACATGGGGGTGTATGACGTTTGGGGATCCAAATCTTATTTTGGGGTTCAGAGCTTTCAAACTCACCTCACTGTTTTTGGATGAATTAATGAATAAGACACAAATAACGAATGAATAAGAAACTGGGAATATGGAACCAACTTCAGTCTCACCCAAAGCATCCATTTTCTCCAGGAGATCTGATCTCTCTAGTCTGGAGATAAGCTGTAATTCTGGGGATTTCCAGGCCCCACCTGGAGGCCAGCACCCCTACTTTCCAGACCTGAAAGGTATCGATCTGTAATGTGTACCCAGTTCTGTTGGCAAAGTTGCATTTCATGGGGGTTTCTTCCTAAACACCACACCACATTTATTTATTTAGGTATTTATACCTTGCTTTCTTTCCCCAGTGGGGGCTCAAAGTGGTTTCCAAGATCTTTCTGTCGCCCTCCTCTTTTTTATCCTCATAACCCCCCCTGTGGGATAGGTTAGCCGAAAAGAGGAAAGGGGGAGGGTAGAGTGACCGTCAGGGGCCTAAAATCACCCAGCGAGCTCCCAACGGCCATCCCGAAGCCCCAGTCCCCCTCTCCCCGACAGCCCATGACAACGCGAAGGGACAAGAGAGGCTTCCAGGCCTCCATAGTACTGTGCCGCCTTCCTTTGCATTGTACACACAGGCCCTGCCTCGACCCCAGCGTCTTCCCACGCTGGAGAAGTAAACACGGAGGAGGAGGAGGAGTGTCAGGGCGGGGAGAAGCAAGGCAGGCGCCGGCCCGGCTCTCTCTGTGTGGCAGCGGCAGGCAGACGGTGGAGGGCCGAGAGAGGGGAAGGGGGCCTGAGCCTGAGCGGGCAGGCTGCCGGCTTTCCCGGCTATCGCGAGAGGCACCGCTAGGAGGGGAAGGGAGGGGAGAGAGGCAGCCTAGCGAGAGGGAGCGGGTAGTGGTAGGAGCCGTCGGACTCCGTCGTCGTCGTCTCTGCCGCCGCCGCTAAGGTGGGCAGGGTGGCGGGAAGAAAGCGTCCGAGGTTCTTCTTCCCATCATGGCGGGGGCCGGAGCCGGGACGAGTCCCCGAGAGAAGCGCTCCACGGCGGCGCGCCTGAAAGCGGCTCTCAGTAGCAGCAGCAACGGAGGTGGCGGCGGCGGCGGCTCGGGCGCCGAGGAGAGCGAGGGCACCGCGGAGCTGCAGGCGCTGCTGGAGCGGGTGCTGTGCCCGGCGCCCGGTGGTGTCGGCGGCGGCGGCGAGGCGGTGTCGGAGGCGTTGGCTTGGTGCCGCTGCCTGCTGGCGGGCGGCGAGCCGTGGGACGGCTTCGTGCAGGCGGTGAGGGCCTACGACCCGGCCACCCTCTGCGGCCTGGTGTGGACGGCCAACTTCGTGGCCTACCGCTGCAGGACTTGCGGCATCTCGCCCTGCATGAGCCTCTGCGCCGAATGTTTCCACCAAGGCGAGCACGCCGGGCACGACTACAACATGTTCCGCAGCCAGGCGGGGGGCGCTTGCGACTGCGGCGACGGCAACGTCATGCGGGAAGCCGGGTGAGTGGGCCAGGCCGGGCGGCCGGGGGCCAAAGGGGAGGAGAGCGAGTACCTCTGGGGGCGTGGGTCTCTCTCACGACGGCAGACGTGCGCCTTGCGAGTATCTAGTTCCTGTGTGTGTGGCCCTGGGCAGGCAAAACCCCCAGCTTTTACCCACACAGGTTAAAGGTGCAAAAATCACCACCACTCCCTGCACCCGGGCAGTGCGATCTTATGCTGGGTTACTCCAGTCTAAACCCGTTGCTGTGGCAGGGGAGGAGCTTTTGTGAGTCACGGCTCACTTCCTCAGATACAGCTAGAATGAGAAAGTAGTTATAGGGTAGCTGATTTAAGTGGCATCCTTCATGTACCAAGTGAGAGGTGTGCCTTATGATGCTGCATGTGTATGCACGTGCCTGAGAGTTTGGAAGGAATTAGAAAAACAAGTCATGAAGAAAGAAAAGTGATGTTTCCATATTGGGGGAAGGTTTCCATATTGGGGGAAGGGGTTTGGAAGGAATTAGAAAAACAAGTCCTGAAGAAAGAAAAGTGATGTTTCCATATTGGGGGAATTAGGTGTGTGAAAGTATATAAATATGTTAAAATATGGAGAAAAAACAGAGGGGTGGATGGCCATGGAACACTTACATGGGATCCATATACTTTAATTCCACAGCAGCGTGGAATCCAAATTCACCATTGTGTGTTTACAGATTCTTTTAGTCCACGTTAGAATGTACTGGCTTTATGTAAGAAATCATAGTTAGGAGTGGCTAATAATTAAATCTTCAATTTGTGCCTGCAAAACCGCATTACTCACTTAATACCACTCTTCTAGCTTCTGTTGTGTGGGTGTGTATGTGTCTGATATGTCATGTAGGCACAGACTGAGCAATAAGTTGCAGGAGTTTGCAACCAGCTCTTACACCTATCCCCTTTTTGTCTTGATCACTTGTAAGTTTCACTTTCTGGAGGCCAGTGGTTCTTGGCTGGGCGTGGCCTAAAGAAAAAAAAATGTGAAATTTCTAAAAGAGTGACTAGTAATGAAACTTGATTTCCTTTGTGTTTTGTGTCAGTATTTAATTATTTCTTTTGGCCGTGTGTGTATGGGTAAGACAGGCACACAGGTAGAGTGACGGGATGAATTGTGTGTATCTGTTCAGATGGGCAGCCGTGTTGGTTTGAAGCAGCATAACAAATTTTGAGTCCAGTGGCATCTTTAAGACCAGAGTGTGAGCTTTGGTGTGCACACACACTTCTTAAGATACAATAAAACGGAAATAGAAATAACAGTCATGCATATAAGAGGGTGGGCAGTAAATTAGCAGACAGAATAATAAAGATGTTTTTAACAGATTAAAAGAATAACAAGTTTAGTTTATATGGCTATCATCTGTTTGGGTTCTGTTTGGGGGAAAGCACAGGAAGGAAATAAATATGTCAGAATTGCTTGAGTGCATGAATGCCCAAGAGGATACTGATGCACAGGTTATTGTGAAACTGCCTGGGATTCTGCCCAGAGTGAAATCAGGAGCAGGCCTTGGGCTTGTATGCCAAGAAGATAACTAGTGAACTGTGTGTTCACACTGTCATTAGAATGCAGGGTTGCCCTGTCTCTACACGATAGATTGCAAAGAAGGAGCCTTGTTAGTCTGTTGTTGCAAAATGAAACAAAAATCCAGCAGCACCTTAAGGACTAACCAACATTCATTTCAATATGAGCTTTTGGGAGCTAAAGCTCATTTCTTCAGATATGCGAAAGGAAAGTGGGTTGGGGAGAAGGAGTTAAGGCAGAGAGTGAATTCTGCCATGAATCTTTCAAGTGTAAATTGAGGAGGGGGATGAGGGGTAGAAAGATGAGGTTAGAATCCCATCATAAAACTTTGAAGTGTGAACTCTCTAGAGTGTGTCTGAAGTATTACAGAGGAGGGCGGTCAGAGATTCAAACAGCTAAGTGAGGGGATAGGTTTAAGTGAAAATTAGCATGTACTGTTATATAGTCTGGTAAAACATGTTAAGACAGCCAGTCAGAGTTTCTATACAGCAGGCTCTGTAGAGCCATTAGCAGTGGTAGTGAGTAAGGAAGTTCAAAGTCTCTGTTTAAGCCAGCATGACATTTAATGGTTTGATAGATTCAGGTGGGTAGCCATGTTGGTCTGAAGCAGCAGAACAAAGTTTAAATCCAGTGGCACCTTTAAGATCCACAAAGTTTTATTCAAAGTATAAGTTTTTATGTGCATGCACACTTCTTCAGATGCGTATTTAATGCTTTGTTTATTGATGAGTTCTAATTCAGCACTTCCACATTTTAGATTGCCTTTGAATTTTTTTTTAGTACAATGGTGACTTTCAGGTCTGTAATAGTATGCCCAAAGAGATTAAATGTTTTCCCATTGGTTTCTGGATGCTGTGTTTTTGATAGCTCCCACCTTAAAGGCCCATTCCTACCTTGTCTCAGTGGAGTGGGAGCACTAACAGTTTGTCTTCTTCCAGGTTACATGAGAGGAATTGATGATACTGGTACTTCCCACATCAGTGTTGCCCCACGTCCAAGGACTGGCAATACTGGCATTGGTAGCATCCCTGTTGGTAGTCCTTCCAGTATGCTGTTATAGTTTTCATGTTACTGGGGTGATATGGGAAGGGGAGACACTGTGAGCTGACACAAAATCTACTTTAGGAGCTTGTCCCTAGTTCTAAAGGCCAGGGAAATCTTACCTTCAAATACGAATCTCTCAGTTCCCTGATGGCCTACTTAATAGGAAGGAGGAGTGCAAGGGAGGGGAAGGTATATAATGTATATGAGCAGAAAATTTGCTCCAGATTTCATCCTGGCTGGCTTCTTAGGACAAAGGAACATATGAATGGGCCGTATAAGTAATCCAGCTTCAAATATTTCCTTTTGTTCTACATGGAAATAACAGAAATGTGCATGAGAGTCCTTGAAATGTACATTGGCTCCTGAACCCAAATACTTGTGGTGGAAGAAAAACATTTGTAATTCATTTCAAACAATGCAAATGTGGAATTAAGAAAAAAGGGACATTTGAAGGGGGACGTTGAGAGGAATTAGGGTTGGTTGAAAGGTTTTGGACAAGAAATACAGGAGATTGGATTGAACAGACATTCCAGAAATGTTGGGCCTGAATAATTGAAGCAGGGCCAAATCCCCCTCCCAGGGGGCATTCTACAAATCTTGGGGAACAGTCAGAACTTTGGGGGGCAAATCGACATTTGAGGCTTTAGGAGGTACCTTTTTCCTACTTGTCCATTGGCAGTCAGAACCCGTTGTGAGATTTATTTCCCAGCTTCTAGATTTCTCCCCTGGTAGTGCAAAGTTTAAATCTTAAAGGGAAAGATTGAAGGTCAAAGAAGACGGGGACGGCAAAGGATGAGATGGTTAGACAGTGTCATAGATGCAACGAACATGAAGTTGAGCAAACTTCAGAGGACGGCGGAAGTCCGGAAGGCCTGGCGTCATCTGGTCCATGGGGTCACGAAGAGTCGGACTCGACTGTGCAACTGAACAACAAAGTGCAAAGTGCTGTCAGATCGCAGCCTAATTATGGCGATGCTGTAGGGTTTTCAAGGCAAGAGACAAACAGAGGTAGTTTGCCTTTGCCTGCCTCTGTGCAGGAGCCCTGGACTTCCTTGGTGGTTTACCATCCTAGTAGTGACCAGGGCCAACCCTGCTTAAGCTTCTGAGGTCTGATGAGACCAGGCTAGCCTGGGCCATCCAAGTAAGGGCAGATCCTCCCTTAAAGGTAAAGGTCCCCTTGCTCGAAAGCCAGTCAAGTCCGACTCTAGGGTTGCGGTGCTCATCTCCGTTTCGAAGCCGAAGAGCCAGCGCTGTCTGAAGACATTTCCATAGTCATGTGGCCGGCATGACTAAACACCAAGGGGCACGGAACGCTGTTACCTTCCCACTGAAGTGGTACCTATTTATCTACTTGCAATTTCTTGCTTTCGGACTGCTAGGTTGGCAGGAGGTGGCACACAGTAAATAATAATCAGTCCAACATTGAAGTGTTGGCTGGTGGCCCTCAGAAGACACTGTGATCTCGTTGGATGTATGGCTAAGGTTTGAGTACTGTATACATATTTTGTAAATACGCTTATATAAATAAAGTTGCCTTGTCTGGGGTGCGGCTTCTTTTATGTCCTAATTTTTTGCTTGTGGCTTGGGGTATGATTTATAATGATGTTGCATACTTGGTGGGTGGTAGTGGATTAAAGGTTAAGAACCACAGGAGTAGGGTGTCTTGAAAACAGCTGATTGTGAGAAACACCTGCAGATAGGCCTGTGGGGTGGAACTGAATGCAGAGGAGAGATGGCGCAGTGTGCGTTGTGTTACGTCAGAAGGTGCATAATGTGTGCAGGGATTTTTGGAAGCATTTTGGTGAGAGAGATACCTGCTCTTGCTGGCATAATGGACAGATGTAGCTCTCTTGAGAGTGTAATGCCAGCCCTCTAGTAGAACTTTATTGGCAGGAGAAGATGAACAAGTGCTGCTGAATTACAGAAGGGGGGTAGTGGTCATTCGCTGTCCTATGAAAACATGTGATAGCAGGAGTCATCCTATCTTCTGCCTCCATTTTATTAAGGATTGATGTGTGAACTCTGGAGGTATGCCAGTTTGTAAACAGAGCTCTGGAGTGTAGTCTGCTTGCTGTGATAGACGCTGACCATTGTTAGCACGAATGCCAGAGGGAGGAGGCAGAGACAACTGTGGAACTTAGTCATTTTTTATTTTCATGCACTTATGCTGTTTCATAACTGGGTGGGCAAACCTATAATTAAACTGCAGTCCAGTGTTACAAACTGGATGGGGAAAAGTAACATAATTCGGTTCCTCTAATTTACCATATATGTTTTCTGATCTACTTAAATTGTCATGAGCTCTTGGAGGGGCGCTTTACTCTCCCTCTGTTTGCGATATTGACATTAAAAAATCCAACAGGATAATTTTTCCTCTGACTATTAATAATGAGATGGGGGAAGAGGAAAGGACATTCTTTTAATGCAGTGGTGGCAAAGTAATGTTATGTTTTGGGGTATGCGGTGTAGTGTCCTGGGCTGGAAGCAGTAATATTTTCTGGCCAAGCCAGTAACTTATCTGATAGGCTGCAGGGTCACACAAAAAATAAAGCCACCAGAACTCATCCAGTACAGTACATTGCACCAGAGCTTATCACATTGTAGAAAGAAATCTAGTGAAAGTTTATGCTGGTATTGCTTGGCTTGTGTATCAACATTTGCACCTGATGGGGGAGGGCAGTGAGGCCTAGCAGATCAGTTCTTAAATTGGGTTCTGGACTATACTACTGCTCTGTTGCTGCTGAGGGCTTACATGACTCAGTGCTTCTCCATATCTCAAAATTCCTCATGCATGGACCCTAAACACCCCTCTTAATCTAGTGAGCTGTCCTGACAAGACTATGCATAGTAGTGTGTTCATAGCAGGCTAAAAAGATAAAGTCTTCTGCGACTAGTTTTTTTTTGGGGGGGGGTTAATAGAAAGGGGAGCGGAATGAGGTATTCATATATTATCTGATACTTCTTAGTTTACAGTCTGTCTGGCAACCATAACCTTTGGAGCTGTTCTTTTGCTCCATATTTCCAGACCAGTAACTTGCCTTTATTGTTTCACTGGTCTCTTTCCTTGTTCTTACATATTCCCCCCGCCGTGTCATGTTTTGACTCTTCCCCAGTATGACTGATGGTCCAGCAGGTCAGTCAAGAGTGTATTAGTCAAGATAATCCTTTATCTCTTTTGGGTATTAAGGTTTCCGTCATAGCAAACAGCTGCCTTCTCCCTCCCCCTGCCCAGCTAAGCAAACTTTGACAGCTACGAGAAAGATCAGACTTCTTGAAACTTTTGTGCCAGCTTGCCTTTCTAGCTGGAAGCTGCAGTAATGTTCTGCCTGGCACTGTCTCTCTTGGCAGTGTTCCTACAGACTGCATTTATACCCTGTTTCCTGCAATTATCAATTTTCGATCGCTTCCAGAATTTCTTCTAAAACATCCCCCTGTTGCATCTGCCAGTCCATCAGATTGTTTTCAGTATACCAGTCAAAGATAAGATTCAGTACACATTTGGCTTGTCAAGCTGAATTGTGGAGGGTTTGCGTTGCCCATCCCAGTTCACCCCCCCTTTCTTTTCAGCTTTGAGTTGAGAATTGTTTTGATGACCCTAGCCTTTGACATTTTGTTAATTTTGTCTGTAGTATAAATTAGACAGTAAAAGCTCAGTTTAGGTGATTACTTCTTGCAAGTCATCTTTGGTTTGGTGCTGAAGAAGAAAAGAGAAACTTCTTTCTGTTTAACACCCCAGCTGGAGTCAAATCTTGAGAGAGGTTTCCCAGTAGATGGATGGATTCATGCAGCTTTCTAACGAATGTTTGCTGTTAAGATATGCACAACTATTATTTTGGTATGTTTTAAACTTGGTGCTGTACTTGAAAAAAGATTGATATAGTGTAAATGTACAGGTTCAGAGGTTAAGTTCGAAAGCAAGAAATTGCAAGTAGATAGATGCTCTGTCTTCTTGGTGCTTGGGGGGGTCAACAGTGGGAGGGCTTCTAATGTCCTGGCCCCACTGCTGGACCTCCTGATGGCACTGGTATTTCTGGCCACTGTGTGACACAGAGTGTTGGACTGGATGGGCCTTTGGCCTGATCCAACATTGGCGTCTCTTATGTTCTTATGTTCTTATGTAGGTACCGCTTTGGTGGGAAGGTAACAGCATTCCGTGTGCCTCGCCGTCTAGTTATGCTGGCCACATGATCTTGGAGAAGTCTTTGGACAGTGTTGGCTCTTTGGCTTGGAAACAGAGATGAGCACCACCCCCTAGAGTCAGATTTGACTGGCTTTCGAGCAAGGGAAACCTTTACCTTTTAACCTTTACAGGTTACTTTACCTTAGCAATGAACACTTTTCTTTTACTCTTGTGTACAGTTAAAAAAAATTGTCCTTTAACCTTGTATGTTAATCTTCAATGGAATCTCTGAAAATAACTGTTATGTTTTCTTTTTATAAATGAATAGTTAGCTCTGTAGCATAGGGAAGGACTTGATTCATAGCTCTACAAAGGTAGGTTAACTTAAAGAAAACACTGAACTCCTCTAGTTCAGGAGAGTGGGAAGAAAATACGTTTGCTCTCATACTTGAAGAGGGAGTTTGAATAACTTTGGCAAGATAAGCCTGTAAGGAAATCTGTTACGCAATCCAGGGAACTTCTTGACAGTGAACCTTTAGGAATGCACTGCTGTTTGGTGTAGTGGTTAAGTGCGCGGACTCTAATCTGGGAGAACCGGGTTTGATTCCCCCCTCTTCCACTTGCACCTGGCTGGATGACCTTGGGCAAGCCATAGCTCTGATAAGAGCTGTCCTTGAAAAAGAGCAGTTTCTGTCAGAGCTCTCTCAGCCCCACCTACCTCACAGGGTGTCTGTAGTTAGCTCTGGAGCCATCGTTCCGGAGCTTGGACAAAAATGTGTGAGTCAGAGGCTAAAAAACTGTGAGCTAGCTCACACTAATTCAGCTTAGAGGGAACACTGCTTACCACCTCTGTTAGTCTCTTGCCTTGAAAACCCTGTGGGGCACCATAAGTTAGCTGCGACTTGACAGCACTTTAATGTCCTGGCCCCACTGGTGGACCTCCTGATGGCACTGGTATTTCAGATATGTGCCCCCCCAGGCCATGAAGAACCATCACCTTGAATTGAACTCAGAAACAAACTGGTTGCCAATGTAGCTGCTTCAAAATATATTTACATTGGCTAGCTCCAACAGTAGCCAAGCTGCCTCATTCTAGACCAACTGCCGTCTCCACGTTGTCTTCAAGGACAGCCCAACATACAACATGTTACAGTAATCCAGCCATAAGGTTACAAAAGCATGGACAGCCTGGCCAGATTAGCTGATTCCGAGAAAGGAGAGAGCTGGTGAACCAGATGCAGCTAGGGAAGTTGCTCTTGGGCCCTGCACCAACCTTTTCAAACAGCAAGGCTAGGTCTATGAGCATACCCAGCCTCTTTACCTGCTCTGCAAAAGTCAGCTTTAATCAGAAATAAAATTCTCCCACATAAGTGTACACAGGAATGCGACCCCCAAGTCCTAGTCTTTTAATAAATGGGCAGTGGGCATGTGTTTGTGAGGTTTTCCAGCTGTTCTGTACAAGTGGAATTTCCGTTACTGGCAAGTGAAGCATTCATTTCTTGTACGGTTTGCAGTGGCCAGGCAGCATAGATGTTAGACTTGCTGATACCTGGCTGTGTGCTGCAGTGTAGCATGTGATTTTATCCTGACTTAACCATGAGAGGCTTCACATCATGATGTGTGAACAACCTGTGTTTAACTGTGGAGTACAGGGGTGAAGTCAGGCGGAAGAAGGAATGTCATACAAGTGAAGTATGAGTTTCTAAATTGCAAATAGTATCCTGTAGCTGTGTCAGAATGGTGGTCAGGCTTATCAAAGGAATTTAAAAGCTATCACATTGTTTGACCTGCCCTTCCATCTGGTAGCTCAGGATGATGTACATGTTCTTTTCTTCATTATTATAGCCTCACAACAGCCCCGTGAGGTTCTTTGTGCTAAGAGTGGCTGATCCAAAGTGAGTTCCATATTAGAACAGGGGTTTGTACCCAGGTCTTCCTATTCCTAGTGCGGCTTTCTAATCACTGACCTGTCTCTCTAAAACAAAGAGTTAAAATCATTTAAAGCTGTTGACAGGGTGGAGAAATATGCTATTTCCAAACAAAGTTCTATTTAAATTCAACTAAGGTGAATATAGTGAATAGAAGTTGCATTGTCGATAATGCAAACTGAGAAAAGATAACAGGATGAAATGAGCTCGGCAAGTGCAGGATTTTCTGTTTTGACTTGCTTCAACAGTTCTTTTAACTGTCTTCAAATCCAAAGTGTGTGAGTGACATTAATGTTACGGAAGAATTTTTTGTGACATCCTTACTGTAATCTGTTTAGAGATACAAGAGTTTCCATCATACAGTAAGCTGGTATAAAGGAAACAAACATGGAATTGTAGGAATATTATCACTTCCAGTAGCTTTCTCTGTGATATAGGTAAGAAGGAATTGCTAGCTGGAATGGGAAAATCCTTCACATTTTTCTAAGAATAAATCTGCTAAGCCCACATGTGTAGAGTGAAGCATTGGGGGGGGGGGAATAATAGTTTTCTGTTCTATTTTATTAATTATCTGACTGACAATTTTTAATTTTGTACAACTTGGTTTACAGGTTTTGCAAAAGGCATAGAATAAAATCAAGCTCAGAAGTTCCATCTGTTCCGAAAGATCTGCTGATAATGTCTGAACTAGTTCTTCCACAGTTCATTTTCTGTCTTATTCAGTACTTAAGGGAAGGCTACAGTGAACCAGGTATGGACAATATTACTGGGGGTCGGGTGGGGGAGTGGAGAGCTAAGAAGCAAAAGAGAGATCTCTATCTGAGTGTAGCAGAAGTAGCAGGTTTTATTAGGGGGTCACCAGTCTATTTTGCTTTCAAAGTAAGTGTATTTTCAAACCTTCTGTGAGTGGCAAGTGGCTGTTAGGTCAACAAAGTGTAATATGAGTATAGTGAGTGTTGCATGTGAAGTTGATATAGCATGAATCTGTGGAGGTTTTTCTGTTCTTCTATGAACTATGCCATAAGTTTTGCTGAAAAGGACAATCAGTTCGAGGAGGGCTGGGGCATAGAAATGTAAGCATACTAGGTTGGATCCAAAGGCGCTGCTATGCTGATGTAACAGCAGTTAAGAATAACACTTCTGTTGCCAGTAGGGAGTGAACAATTTTTGCCAATTTGCCTCTTCCGCTTCCCGTACTGTCTCTGAGGCTCCCCTGAGTCCCCATAGCAGAATTTTGGGAGCCCGTGGTGGTGGGGAGAAAATCCTGTTTTCTGAGCTTTGTTACTTGTGATAATTTTGGATCCAACCATGTGACAGCAAGTCTATGTTGAAGGTAAAAGTGAAGGAAAGTCAACTGCTTAGATAAAAAAAAATTATCACAGCAATTTGTCCTTTGTATTCCGCAAAGAGCTATGTGCTCACAAATGTTATAACCAGCAAGAGTTATATAGTCTATAGATGGAGGAGGAGGAGGAGATTGGATTTATACCCCACCCTTCACTCGAAGTGGCTTACAAACTCCTTTCCCTTCCCCTCCCCACAACGGACACCCTGTGAGGTAGGTGGGGCTGAGAGAGCTCTGAGAGAACTGCTCTTTCAAGGACAGTTCTGACAGAACTATGGCTTGCCCAAGGTCATCTAGCCAGGTGCAAGTGGAGGAGTGGGGAATCAAACCCGGTTCTCCCAGATTAGAATCTATGCACTTAACCACTACATCAAACTGGCTCAGATATGGTTGTAGCAAAAGGACAGATGGAATTGTGTCAACTCAACTAAGGACAGGTCAAGTTTTTGGTGGAAGGTGTGTCCACCAGTAAAGGAGCCTGTTGCATCAATGGGACGTGGTTTGCCCCAACAGAATGTCATTGCCCTTAGCTGAACAGAGTGGTAGGATACAGCCACTCGACAGCAGAACTACTGACGAACAGTTTTATAAATCAATTGCAACCCACTTGAACAGTCTTTCCCCCAAACCACATTTTCCTCCACAGTTCTTGATCTACCAACAGAAAAAGACATTCAGAAAGTAATGAAAGTCCTTCAGACACTGGAACCACACATTTCATTTCTGGAAGATCTGACAAAGATGGGAGGAGCAATGCGTTCAGTCCTTACTCAGGTTTTGACAAATCAGCAGTTCTATAAAGATCTCAGCTCTGGTGAGTTTGTGTTTTTGTTCTGTCTTGAGGAATTTTCCATGAGTGACCATCTGTGTTTTGTGCTCTTGCTGCCTGCTGCAGGGGAGCAGCAGTGCAGGTTTGTGGGGCTGTTCATCCCTGTCGTTGCCCCCACCCCCCACCCCGATCTTGCAGTCTTTGAAGGCCAGAAAAGAATCCTGGCCCTCTGTCAGCACATATGGGTCATGCTTCCTGTGTAGCTGACTTAGAAAACTTCCTCTTGAGAGAAGAGACATAAATCTTTTAAATAAATCGATATAACATTGCACTGTTGTTTGGAATCATCAATGTGGCAAGACTATTTCACTTCCATTCTTAGTTTTAAAGCGCTAGAGCAAGCAGTAGCTTAGTGTTGCTGTTTGGGAATCGGGCCTGTGAATACAGGGGAAGAGGGACAAGCACAATCACCTCTCTTCCTCTGTTTGTGGAAATTGCTACTCTACCAGGGGTGACAAGAGCCATTGCAGAGCCCCAGACAAAGATTCCCCATTGGCCTCTCTTTGCACTTTATTTGGTCCCTCCTCATATTTAGAAGAACATAACGCAAGATGCTTGAGACCAGGAATACTACTGCTATTCCCCACCCGCACTGTACCCAGCTTTTGGGGCAACCTGGGCCCCCAGAATTTTGTACCCCTTCTGGCAGAATGGACCTGCTCTGGACTGAAGGCCCTGTTCCACCCTGCCCTCCTGGGTTTTTCCAACACCTGGAGGGACTTCTCTCTCTCTCTCTCTTTCTGTTCAACCACCACCACCTGACCTTCGTAGGAATTGCCCACTGGGAGGGTCAGGACTCCCAGCTTCCCTTCCAAGTTTTGAGGCCTTGCCTCTGAGTCTCCCGCTACCCTGCCTTGTGCATCAATATGGGAGTAGCCACTTGTCAGCTGACTGCCCTCCCCTTCCTCCTGCTGCTCCTTTTAAAATAGCGTGTCCAACAGTGGAGGCATATGTGGCACAGAAAACCACTACCAGGATCAGGGGTCATTTTGTAGAAAAAGAGGTGCAGGAGCTCATTAGCATGACTCATTAGCATAACTTATTTGCATGTGCCACACCCCCTGACATCACCGGAAGTGTGTCAGAAGGCAACACCCACCGCTCAGGCTCCACTGGACTGTTTTGGATTGCTAGCTATTGGGGGGGGGGAATGTGCAGATCCGTCCTTGCAGAGGAGGGAGAGCTTGTACCTGAATAAAACTTGGTCTTAAAGGTGCCACTGGACTGTTTTGGACC